TCTGCCTGCATAGGTGCCCATGCATGGGGGCCAGCAAACTGGGAGCAGGACTGCAACATCCTTTCACACACATTAAACAAAATCTGGTTTGCAGTTCCCCTTTAACCCATGTGCAGGGCTGGGCTGGTCACACATTCAGTGTCAACAAGGTGAAGTGCTCCGGAAGAGACTGCCAAGGAGAGCATCACCATCGGCCTGACAGCATCTTCCAGGTCATGTCTCAGCACACATCCTTTGCCTTCTGCCTGGCTTTGACAAGGACATGGTTTTGTACAGCTCAGCCCCATAGAAAAAAAACCTCCATTTTCTGACAAGTGGTGAGAAAATCATTCCTACAGCCCACAATGGCAATCTGCTTATTAGTCAGACTGCCTCTCCTAATTGCATTATTACTTCATGGTAGGCCAGGACAAGACAACATCATTAGCTGAAGTTTCTTCATTTTAGCAGTCCACTGCCTTCATACCCGATTTAGAAGTTAATGGGTGAAGAGTATGTTTAGTTGCATACCTGCCATGCAGCTCAGATGACATGCTCCTTAAACACTGTGGTTGTGTGGATGCTTAGTCAGTTCCCTTCATTTTTTGCATTGCTTATGGTCCTTTCCCTTTATTTCTTGTATTTTAGGAGTTCTGAGAATAGGTGAAATTCTGTTAGAACTACAAAGACTAGCTGCATTTTCTGTGCTATTTCATAGCAGCAGAGATTCTTCAAACCTCGGGTTGACTCCAGAGCTCAACTATCAGAAAGTTAGAGATGGTCAGCTCAGGGTTTCCTATTCTAACTTGCCTCCTATAAACATAACCAAAAACCCAGAAGATTCAGACTGGGAAAATGTTAAGCCTAGTCCAGCGATCTGCCAAAAGGTCTGCAGGAAAAATGGACTCAAAAGGAAAACTGCTGTAAAGGAAAATATAATAAAGATGATGCCTGGGTAAGTTGCTCTGCTGACTTGTTACAAGCTCTGCAAGACAAGTCTCTGAAACAGGTAAATGAGCATTTGAAAAGCAGCTGTTAATCACACTTAAGATAACAACCTCAATGAGCCAGCTGTCAGGGAAAGTGATGGATTCACCTTCTACTCTGTGTTTACCTAGAAAAAAAATGCTGAGAAACAAGTAAGGTACCCACATCTCTCTCTAGGCAGAAAGTTCATGATAACAGAGGATTTGAATAGACAGAAAATTGATTTTCATGGAAAGTAAACTATTTGTATTTCTTTTTACTTTTATCACACAGCTGAACAGTTTAACTCACGAGGAATGTAAATAAATTCGTGTCAAATGTTAAATAAACTTTTTCTTTCTTTTTTTTTAATTTCCTTTTCTTTCTCTTTTTAATAAATCTTGTTTGGGTTGAGATTATGCTCATAAAGGCAATTCATGCAGGAGCCACAGAGAAAACAGATGTTGTAACCTTTGAACAGAAGTGCTGAAGAGCAATTCAAAAGCGAGTTTGGAAATGAAAATTACCACTTTTGTCTGAGGAACGTAAGGGATAGAAGTAGCTCACATGGGAGGTATAAGATGTCTCCCTCCATATTTATGGCAGAACTGACCCATGGTAGTGCATACAGCCATAACGGTATTCCCAATAAATCACTGGCATCAAAATGCTTCAGGATGGCAACTGAACGCTCACATGCAGCCCTGTAAGAGAGCACCCAAAATGAAAGCTGCATAAGCCATCACCCACCAGGGCCTTGGAGACCTCGTTTCCTGTGGAATGAGGCCATAAACCCCTACACAGTAACCACCAGAGGAGCTGGGGTTGGCAGGGAAGGAGGGGGATTGGCCCCATGCAAAAAGCAACTGTGATTATAATATAGCTTATATGATGTGGATATATATTGACCTTCACATGCTGTTTTAAGAGCTCAGTAATATCTGGCTTTGAAATAGTGGTAGGAGAGTACAGGCACTGTTGTAAATGGCTTGTGTGGGGACATGTGTGGGACAGCATGCAGTTTCTTTTCCTCAGGTTAAAGGAAGATGGAGTTAAATTGTAGCAGATATACGAATCACATTGGAGAAAGCTGCAGCAGCTCAGCTTACTTAGCCTGGCAAAATAATATGGTGCAAAACTAGAGGGAAATTTAAGAACTCAGCAGAAGAATAGAAATGAGAAGATTTTTATCCTGTGTAATCTTCCCAATAAAGAAAATATTAATATGCTTATTATTCAATACATTGTTTCCCTCCTTTGAATTGATAAGCAGCACTCAGGTTCTATAAGAAATCCAATAAAGAAAAAGAAAATTGACTTCTTCCCTTTCTTGTACCAAGATCAATCTTGGGCCACTCTCTTTCACATAAGAGGCTAGAAACAGAATGTTTTTGAGGCTTTGCCTCAGTCTCTGTTTTGAAGCACCAAGTCACATGCAGAGCTCTACACAGCTTATTTGGATCTGCATAGTGGTTTCAGCTATCATCAGCTAGTCCTTATACACTCTATGGCCCTCCTCATGCCCTCGACGCTTATTCAATGCCCCACAAGTGCATGGTGACACCTCTATGCTTCTTCTTGCCCTGAAAATTATATCACTGCTATGTCACACTGCAATTTCAAATGAAAGCTGCTTCTCTTCCCCTCTTCACCCAACAGCCACAGCTGCCGAGACTCCCACTGACAGAGAGCAAGAAGCCAGCCCACTCGCGTCACCAGGCCATTATGCGTCATTACCGTGCATCATCCAGGGGCAATGTCACCCCTACACATGAAATAATAATGGCCTAACAGATGTGAGAGTCATTGTAGTTTTGTCTGCTGCTATTGGAAGACAAACTAACACAGAGAAGCAGATTGGTAGGGAAATAGTTCTGGCAGTTTCTTCAGAGAACTTATCTGGACCAAAAAGTATTGTGTGGCTTTTTGGGGTCTGACTGTTTCTTTTCTTCAATTATTTTTTTCTGTTTTGAGAAGGTTTTGTGGTATTTTTGATGTGCATTTCAGCTACCGTGAATAAATCTGTGCTGGACACCCAAGTGCTTCTAAACACACCATAGACTTCTCATGAAACTCTTCTCCTATTAAGGAAGACAAGCACATTTGCCTCTTCCAGACAGTCGCTCTGCTTTGCTTTTATTGTAGCTTTGTGCCATTCAACTTTCTTCAGCTGAAAGAAAAAATTCCCCTTTATGTTTTGCAGACACAAGGACATGTCCACAATCAGGAGTAAATGGACAGACTTTGCCACTAGCTATGACTAATAATGGGAGACGTTCACTGTTAGCATAACGCTGTATTTACTTTGTTCAATGTCTCCCATAAACACTTTAAGACTGCTCTGGTAAATCCCTGGTAACTCTAATTAGGGAAGCAAGCCTCGTAAAAAAAATAATGTTCTTCATAGCAACCTATTAAGTGACTTTTATTTCTTAAAATATTGACATTTTGGGATGACATTTGTCTTTATAGGAGGTGTTGACCATTAGAAGATGGGTTTTAATCATGAAATATAATGTTTTTCAAGTTACTGTATGCCTCACAGCGACACAGTGACTGAAACAATCCAGTCCAGGATCAGCTCCAGAGATGTACCTTGAATCTGCTGAGGGATTCCAAAAAGATGAGTTAATATCCCTGTGCCTCATATTTCCCCCGAAGAGGAAACAATATTCAGAGAGTAACACTTGCTCAAACAATTTGCCTTCTAGTCACAAGAATGAGACACATGCATTTTTAAGATACTCATGCAAATCTATATTTACATGTTATTATCCAGAGCTTTTTGCTACTTTCCTGAGCTCTCCTAAATACTCTGCTTTGGCTGACTCATGCTGCTTGCTCCCACTTCACACTTTTGCTCGTGCCTCTCACATCTGGGGACGTCGCTGTGACTCCCAGCACCAGACACACACGTGCCATTGGCCAAACCCCATGCATGGATGCAGAGAGCAAGGCCCAGCAGCAGCACCCATGGGGAGCTCTGCTCTCACATAATGGGGAGCACCCACACTGCATCTCATCCCACTGCTGCTACATCACCAGGGAAAGTCCCTCCCAGCACATCTGTCAGCTGGGTGTTTGCAATGAATAAGCTTACTCTGTGAAGTAAGTGCTAAGAATTAACATTAGGCTCACATATGCTGATATTTGTATCTATATCTGTATATATACCTGTATCTGTCTATCTATCTATCTATGCAAGCCAGGATATGGTTGTCCTGAGCTGTTGTGTCTCCAGGCCAGTCTGCTCAAAGCTGCAGTGCAAACTGCTGGAATACTGAAATAAAACACCAAGCACTCATTTTCCAGACCACTGACCATTCTCAGCCAGTTAAAATTAATTCTACAGAGCAAAATCAAAATTAATTATGAAACCAGGAGAAAGAGTCCAACAATACTCTCACACTGATAGCACTCTCCCCGAGCCCTCTAATTTGGTAGTTGCTTTCATAGTGACAAGAAGCGACTTGCAGCCCTTGCACGAGGTATTCAAAACACCAAACCCAACAGTTTTCCCCATTAACACAGACAAATTAACATTATCTCAGTGCTACTCATAGTTCCTCTGAGTGAAACGAGTATGCCGGCGGTGATTCATGCACCACTGCTGAAACAATAACTCACCCTGCGCACCCCAGCAGTGTGCTATAAAGTAACCTGGGTGTGTAATTATAGCGAGCACCACGCTGACACAGCTGCTGCTCTTCACTCCCATGCAGCCATTATATTTCCCTGTGCTTTGTGCAATGTTCTTTCTAACGACGTGGGATACATCAGCCTTTGCTTGGAGGAGAGCCTGCCTAAAAATGACCTGTAAAATTAGCACATGGGGGTTAGCAGGTGGAAAGAAACCAACTCCCTGGGTATGGCTGACACGACCTGTGACACCTTTGCCTTTCCTGAAGTGCAGAAGCACAGATAATGGCTTCTGGAAAATAATGTGCATCCTTGAGGCATGTTTAGCTGGCCATGGGAATATGCAGGGAAGGAGTACAAAAGCAGTAAATGATATTAGGGGCTTGGGCAGTGGTGGGTGCTGTTAATGTACGGTTTGGCCAAGCACCTCAGGCTGCTTGAGAAGAGCAGGAGTTGTCCAATGAATCAGTCCTGGTGCCTCCTGAAAATAATCCAGGGGATGCTCTAGGGTATTAGTGAGACTTTGTTTTGGAACAAAGGCAAGGTAGGTCATTGTATGTCACATGAAATAGTATCTCTAATAAATCCATATCAAGTTTAATTTTGTTTCTATCTTATGGGATAAGTACCAGCATCTATCAGCAACTTCAAAGGGATTTACAGGCACTCTGTGTGCTGGAAACCAGCCAGCGTGGGCATTTTGAGTTACTTGATGCCAGAAGGGAAACAACTCAGATGGGCCTTTCTAAGGAGATTTTCAGTATACATTCTGACCTGGCTCAGATCCACAGTATACATTGCTGCACCAAGGCTGAGCAGTGAGGCAATTCATCCTTTTGATGCACAGGATAGATTTTGGCTGGGTTTGAAGGTAGAGAACTTCATTTATATTTTATCAGGGACAAGTTTCTGCTTCCCATTGCTCAACTATGCAGCAGTAAAAAGACTTTTTGGGCCCTATGTTCTCAGCCTGTTAGATTGCTCTAAAGTTATAGGTTGTTTTCACCCCTAATAGCCACCAAACTAAGCTCCTTCAAGGATGAAATAATTTCATATATCATGACTTTCTGCAGGTAAATTAATTCATAAAGTTCTATGTTGCTATGACCAGACAACCATATAGCACTTGTGATACCATAGAGACAACAACAAGTGAATTTTTCTTCCTTGAAACTCCAGAGAAGATGTTAGGGTCTGAGGCTGAGGAATATATGCTGTGCTGCAAACTGCTGTGTAGGTATCAGTCAGTACCATGTCTCATTATTGCCATGTATGCAGTCTCTGCTTAGGCATGTCTGGTGTCAGCTGTCCTGTTGAAATCTGAAGGTGAATGAAAAACAATTAAGAAATTCAGAATTAAGAATCTACAGCATCCTTACACATAACATGTGTAAGTGCCCAAGGGATGTCATCTTCTGGAAAGAAGTCACAGCCTCTTTTCCTTCTCAGGGAAGAACATCAGGGCACTCTCTCTGCTATCAAAGAAATAATATTGCTCACTTATCCCCATTTTTGCAGCACCAAGAATGGTTGGGATTTTTTTGTGTGGAAAGTAGGATTCATGAAACCTGAAGTTCCCTCTTTAGCTAGCAGAAAGATGCACATAATCCAGTTCTCATAAATAGTCTCTGCAAGATCCCCTTGCTCCATTAACTCAATGGAAGCCTATTACTGCTACTGCTGAAATCTTCATTTAGAAGCTGATATTAGGTGGCATGAATAGTCTTCCTTACCATTCTTTATCACAGCAAGTGTCAGTATCCTTTTTCAGGCTGGACAAAATATATCCATTAGAACAATTTTGCAATGGAAATCTACTTTGAAAGCTCTCAGTGTATCAAATTTTTAATGGAAAAAAAATAATAATGATTTCCAAGAAATAATTTGATGAAAAGCGAAACAAGTCTTTACAACTTACTGAAGACAAGAAAAGGTCCAGACTGCAGAAAATAACCCTGAAGAGGAAGTTCCATGTCATTCTTTCTCTTAGAAAAAAATAGATAGAAGAATGAACATCCTTCGGAGCTAGGAGTGTTTGCACTCTATTTATCTGGACTATAAGTCAACTGGCAGAGAGAAAAAAAGAAGGATTTTATATAATCCTCAGTAGAAAAAAAATACTTTCAAGAGACATATCTTCATTTCACTCCATATTTTCTTATCCCACAGTACAGTTAGGTAGTAGAAGTCTTTTATGTTTTGCACAAAATTCACCATAAGTCTTCTAGTGATCTTCAGCCAATGCATTTTAGACCTCACATCCAACCTGATTTCCTGCCCGCCCCCTTCTTGGCTTCTAAAGTTCGACTGCATAAAACACTTTAACGAATGGGAAAAAAAGTTCCTAAGTCCACAGAAAAAGCCTTTTCTCTAACTTGGCTCTTCTGATCCTTTTTATACATCATAGTACTGACAAGAGCATGAGTCTCCTCTGCATGTTCATAAACATATACTTTCTTTGATGTTCTGTAGAGTGACACATAGACACTGTCCATGCTCTCATTAGGAATGTTACAGCTTTAGCAGGCCCCCAGCTGTGCACAGAGAAGCCTAAGAAAACAGAAGTCCCCTGTTTGACATGTGTCAAGGCGAGGGATCCAGGATACCCCATCCCTATTGTGCAATGTTCCCAAATTGTTTCCTGGGGCCTATGCTAGGAGTTTTCCTTATCAAACCACTTTATTTTCACAGGAAAGATCATGTGATGGGAAAACACACTTTCCTGTTCTGCTACATGCTTCAGTGTCTGGGAGAGAACAGGGCAGTTTACCAAGCTCATGTTTACTGGGTCATCGTTTGGCCAAAATTGCCTTAGCAGTGTCAGTTGACAACACTGAAATTAAAAATCTTCTAATAAAGGGGTAAAACACAGTGGTCAATGCTGATCTTTGCAATATTTCAGGCAAGGATGAATTTTTTTTAGAGAGTTTTGCTAAAGCATGAAAATTCAATGTGTCACTGTATGCCCACACACCAGAGTGAATGTCATTCTGTATATATATATGTATAGAAAAACAGACACATATATGTATGTACATATAAAAACACACAGAGGAAGATGGAAAAAACACTAGATTATAATTTGCAATTCTGTATTAGGCTCTTATGGTTTAAGTGAATTTTATCAAATTGTTTAGACCCAAAGAGCATCACTTTTAACAGAGATTTGTTTTCAATGCTAATGCAATTACTCCTCTTCTTTTCCTCTAAGCAAATTCTTCAGCACTACTGAAAGAAAAAATAGAAAGATAAAACCACTAAATCAGTTCCAGCTGCCTAATCTAACCCATAATACCATATGTGTGTGGATCCCTTTGACAGAGGAGAGGGAAGGAGAGCTCTATAATAAAGGCAGCAGCTACATGAAGGAGAGTCAGCCTCCACTGACTCATTTCCTGGGTCCTCCTTTTTTAAACTATTAACAGAGATGATGTTTATAGGTTAATGGCAACTCTACATCATTCAGCACAGGTCATCAACTACACACTTCCCTATTCAGGGCTCTGCCTGTTTCTTGCTTTGACAGTCTGGACTTGAGGTGGCATTGCTTGGTCTTGGAACTTGTTTTTAAACTTCACTTTATTAAAAGGTGTGGTGGGGAGTCGGGAGAATGTGGGTTCAGGTTCTTTCTCAGCTGTCAGTTTACACTGTGACTCAGTTTATCACCTTTTCATAATGGTATTTGAGAGAGTTTCCAAGCAAAAGCCATAGTTGCATGGTCTTTCTGGCTAACACTTCTCCAACAGATGGTAAAAAAATCATCCTCCAAACTCTTAGGGAACTCATGAATTACCTCCTGTGAGCAGTGCCATTTGGCAAATGTGACATTAAAAGAATAAGGCTCATTTCATACATAGCTTAGGCTTCTGTATGTGCTCCAGAGCCAACAGCAGCATCAAATGCCTACTTCTAAAAGACCAGTTTATTTTCCTGAATGCATATTTCCATGGGCCTAGACTACATTTTAGGATGAAAAGCAATATTCAATAGATGCAGAGTCATCCTAGTCATTTTGTTATGCAAATGACAGTATTGTCTTTGTCAGTATTAAAATCACAGAAAAAGAAAAAAGCCACAGTTCAGTTTTTAAACTATAAGAAATTATCTATTTTTTAATTATAACAGAAATTCAATTATATGCTTATCTAAGACTCTTATTACTAGATACATTCTTCTAGAGGAAACAATCAGCTGTGGGCTGAAATTCACAGCTGAATCCCAGCTACATCATTTTCAGTCAGATTTTCAAATCTTCACTGAAGAGGCAACAGGGAAGGGAAGGGAAGGGAAGGGAAGGGAAGGGAAGGGAAGGGAAGGGAAGGGAAGGGAAGGGAAGGGAAGGGAAGGGAAGGGAAGGGAAGGGAAGGGAAGGGAAGGGAAGGGAAGGGAAGGGAAGGGAAGGGAAGGGAAGGGAAGGGAAGGGAAGGGAAGGGTTTATAAGAACTTTCTAATAATGTGTCTTTAAACAGCATTTGCAAAGAATTATAGGAATTAGGATAAACTTGCAGCCAAAGAGCTTTAATGAAGATGAAGGGTGTTGATAGATGCAGAGGGAAGAAAAGGATACCTATGAAACTTTACAGCTGAATTTGATAGAACAGCTGATTTTTATAACGGGTAAGGCAAGGAGCATACTAGAAAGCTAGCTGAGAACAGGAAAGTGGCAGGAAGTATCGCTTGTCTGTCTTTTTCCAGTGATTTAGCTCTAGCATGAGGATAGATTTTGAGGCAAGGCTCATTTCTGAAATAATAATAGCTGTCTTCTAGAAAGTGCCTTCCCTTCTGTGTGGAAGCTTTCTATTCTTGGGAGTAAGAAGCTTAAGGTCAGGAAAGGGGAAGAGGTTTCAGAAGCAGAGGTGATGCAATTGATGCTGTATCTGGAGTTGTCACTGCAAGAGGAAAAGGGATTCTGGAGACTTGGCAAAGGTAATGTCTACAAATACTTACTTTTGGCTATTTGATTTGTAATTAGAATCTAAATGAATCAAGATTATTTCTTGCTTCTAAAAGAGGTTGTTGGCACATGCTTTCATTTGCTCCTTCATTGGTAACTGTACCATATCTCTCTTGAACCTTCTATCTTGCCTTTGGCAAGGAAGTTCAAAGCAGTTGTTAGCTCTTTCTACTAGGAGTAGCTACAAACCTTAGAAACTGTATCTGAGGTGCTCAGCCTCCACACTGCAAAACTGTCTCTGTATTAGGTGTAGGGAAGCAGTGCATTATTCTTTCACATACAGATACCTTCCTGAGGATTTGGCTTAAGTCCTGCTTCAGTTTTGCTCTCTCAAACTAACTGTTGTAGACAGGTACTGATGGCTGCTTGAGCACACACTGATACACCAAAATTCAGATCTCTAGCTGGTTAAAGTTGTCAGGACATTCACTGTGTCATCTGCCATCATTTATGTAGCAGCCATCTGATTCCTGCTGTGCTAGATGTGACCTATGTGTGAAGACTCCCATTGTGTCACTCTGAGAGTGACAAGCAGGTAACCCTATAAAACCTCAGGAAAGTTGAAAGCAGATAGGTAGCACCCAGCTACTAAGGGACTCCACATTTCACCTCCTACCTGTGCAGGACAGGAAGGAGGCTGTTCAGTCTGGACTTGTTAGGCTCAAAGCCCAGATTTAGGTATTTCATCACAACATTTGCACAGTGGGATTAATCTTACCCTGGTTTACATTGACCTTCCCTCCTGCCTGGAGCCTATGCTACAGGAACATATCTATGGTGCTATACACCCCTCTATTTGACTTCCACAACCATTTCATTTAACTGAATGGTTTTAAAGCTGGGGTATAAAGCCTCTTTCGCAGTTGGATACAACTCTTTCACATACAAGTAGTTTTACCCTGCTTTTTTGCCTTCCCACGCAGGACCTAGAGCTGCTGTGATTCCAACTGCTGCTACAATACTGGAAAAGCTGTTAATATATCCAAAGCATCACATGAGGTTCTTGTTGATAAAAGACCCTGCTATTTACTAAGAAATGGGCTGATTATTTGACTGTGAGCATGAAAAGCAACAGAGTTTTGGAGGACACTTTGTTTTTTTCCAAAGACACTTGAAACTGAGAGCACCTGCATCCTGCAGACTGAACATGTGTTAAGCTTCCCCTTTTACGTTTTGGTTGTCTTGGGGTAACAGAACCAAAGTAAACTCTATGATAATCTCTGATCACAGAATCATGTGTACAAATTAATAAAATACCTGCAGTTTTTTTCCTGGGAAGTGAAATATGGTGAGCAAGAAATCTGTGCTTAGAGCAGGAGCAGACCCTGGGGCTCCTGACAGTTTAAGTGTAGCCCTGCACATGGAATCAGCTTGTCTCCAGGCTTGTGTGCAGACGCAACATATCACAAAGTGTACAAGAGGCATTTATTGTAATGATAAGGGGGTTGGTTTATTTCTTGTGGCTTTTGGAAGGCCTAGTGTAAACAGGACAGTGGTTAGTTTGTTTAAGTGGTTGCAAATGTATAATTTAATAAGGCGTAGTTGAGAGCAGTTTGTTCTTGGAGTTAGCATTCAACCTCTGATGTCCTGAGCAATGCCTGGCAGACAATTTAAGGCTACTGAAAAATTAACATGTTTGGATGGAGGCTGTTTGCTACAGGACATTCCAAATTGACCCATATGACTGGGATGTTTTCCCCTTTCCTCCCTTCTCTCCCCTGCATCACCTGGCACAATTTCTGGTACTATGAAAGCTAAAACATAAAGGTTGTTGTATAGATGTCATTGCTGTCATGCATTGTTAAAGTTAGCCGTAGGTCACATTTAACTCTTTGACTGGTGGCTCTGTAGGCCATTTAATTTATTTGTATTTAAACTCCTGAGTTCATGCAAAGCATCCTTATGTTGTCTCTAGATATCTGTCCTCATGTCCTCAGTATATTTGACAAAGACCACTCCTGGGTTTATCACATCTTCTGGTCTTTTGAGAGAGAAATACAGATGCTAAGCCAATATTCTGGATTTTTTAATTTTAATCTAAATGTGGCTTATTTAACAGATTTCTCTTGAAGTTGTCTTGCGTGTTTCAGCAGATACAATTAACGTTGCTAACAAGCCTGCAATCCTCAGCCTCTCAGTCAAGGTAGCAACCAATCCCTAAAAGAAGCCAGCCCTGAAACTTCCTCAGTTGACTCCCTACCATAACAGAGTAAATGTTTCTATTCAGTTTCTTTTAGTCTTTTTCCCTTGTACAAAACTTTTATACTTGTCCTTGTCTGCTGTGCTTGGTGTGGGTGCCGTGTTGTCATGTTCCCAGTGTTCAAAGACTTTTAGCTAATGGTTTTCAAGGTTGAATGCCTAAGGCTTAATTCAGCAGAGGCGAGTAAATAATTAAGTTGCCCGAGGTTTTCTTGCTGTTTGTCATTTTCGTCCCAAATGAAGGTAAGAAAGTCAGACCTGTCTGAATACACCAGACTTGCTGAAGTCTTTCAGCTCTTCAACATTGCTTTAGATCCCAGGGAGATGTGATGCATGGAAATGTATGTGCCAGCCTCCAGCATACTAATCACCCTATCAAGCATGTTCTTCAAAGTGGGGCAAGAGCACTCTCAGAATC